ATTGATGAACAGACGCCATCCCTACAAAAATCTGCTGAAGAAAATGACCAAGCGAAATCATCGCAAATATCAAGCTCAATTGAAGAAAAATCGGTCGTTGAGGACAAATCTGAAGCACAACAACAAACAGAAAAGTTAGAAGGTGAAATTAGTCCAGACGATAGTTGGGGTGCAGCTGCGCGACAAATACTATCTGTACCCGTGAAAGCAGCTGGTGATTTCATCGAAAAAGTTGTTTCGAGTGTTCAATCAGATTCGTCACAACACGAAACTGACTTTGACACAAATATTTCTGGAGAGAAACCAACTACTGAGCCCTTGCCAGATGTCGATCGAGACTTAATGCAAACAACCAGTGGTGAACTGACTGAAATAATGCATCAGCTTTTAAACCTAGAAAAAACCGTTGTAAAACATGATGACCAGCAGCAACAACCTCCATCATCGATTGCGAAAAGCCTTACTCCTGCTGAAATAGTGTCCCGTTATGAATCTATGATCGAGCATGTTGAAAGCCTTCAAAAACCCTTAATCGAAAACCAAACAAGCGCTGCAGAAACCTCAACTCCTGGTACAAAGGCAGATTTATTGGACACGATAGAATTAAGCCATAGGTACGACAATTTAATTGGAAAATTAAACACTTTAGAAAAAGGAGCAATCAAAAGTATTCCACAAATCGGACAGGTAGATACACCTCACCAACTGCGCGATTCATTTAATGAAGTTAGTGATCGGAAACCAATACCAGACAACTCGACTACTATTCAAAAACTCTCCAGTACAATCGAGAAAGTAACATCTACTGTGACCGACAATGTACAAACAGCATCCCCGTCAGCAGATACACAAGAACATCGGTCGACTGAACTCAAACCGTCGCCTAGTGATGACTCGGTAAGTCGGAGTTTTACAGAATGCATTTAATTATACATTCTCGCTTTCCCCAATATCTCCATGAAAATCGTTCGTCTAATATGTTTTGTTCTCTCTGATTTAGAAAC